AGGTACATGGAGTGTGGGTTCAAGAGCACAGGCTCTGGGTTCCCTTCCTGGATCTGCCACAAGGGACCTACACCTGTCACTCCCGCCTTGCGCCTTCCTTTTTTCTCATCTGTGGAACAGGGATGCTGAAGGAAGGTCTTGTCCTATCCAGGCTCTGCCCCTGGTTCTGTCTCAGCCTTTTGAGGTCAGGATGGGGACAGGGAGAGGGCTGGAAGGGGCCAGCTACAGGTATGGTTCCAAATTCCCTAGATAGTGCATTTGGAAGAATTCCTCATTTTCTGGGGTCCCCCCAGAAATTTCTTGGCCCCCGGTTTCGGGGGATTCTTTTCAAACTACTTTGCTGGCATGGGGAGAGTGGTAGAAAGGCGTTTGGGTGCACAGGCTTGGACATGAGTCACAAGCGCACCCTCTGCAATGTCATTGTCCATGGCCCAGATCCCTTCCCCGCGGTGGAGCTGGCCAGGCCCCCTCGGACTCTGCTCCTGGTTGTGACTTATTTCATTTTCTTGTGACTTTTCCCGTAATAATGGGATCTTATAACCAGGACTTTCAGGAATGCAGTATCCACAGGGCACCTTGGACTGTGACCTTGACCATGACCTGCCAGAGGCCCCCTCACTCTTAGAGCTGAAAGAATACAAACCATTGCACACTCCTGCCCCTTCTCTTTCAGTCCAGTTTCTTCCTGCACCACAAGGTCTGGCTCACCTGGAGGGCTTCTCCTGCCTATGCTGACTTCATTCTCTGTCTTGCCATTCTGCGGCTTCAGTTCCTGTGTGGCTCAGTGGGACAGCGAGGGGTTTTCTGGAGTGGCGAGCGATTCTTCATTGTGCAGCACTGTACCCGCATGGCACCCTTCTCCTGTCTGGCTCCTGGACACTAAATACTTGTAGGGGTCTCCAGTTGCTGAGACAACAAAGCTCCCCACAGTATATTTCCAGACATGCCCTTCTACTGTCTGAGCAGTGTTTCCATTCAGAAATTGCTTTATTAGTTGATGTAGCTACCACTGATCACTTTAATGGACACATTGAATAGTTTCAGGAATGGCCATAGTAGTCACTTACGTATATATATATTTTTTATTTTTTTATTTTTGAGAGGTGGGAAGGACAGAGAACGAGAGAGAATCTTTAGCAGACTCCATGCCCAAGCCGGGGGGGGGGGGCTCAGCCTTACCACCCTGAGCTCATGACTTGAGCCGAGATCAAGAATCAGGCACTTAACTGGCTGAGCCACCCAGGAGTGCACCCCCAATCACTTATATTTTTAACCCTAACTCATCTGAGGGTTTATAGGGCCCAAGCCTCAGCATAGAATCACATTTAAAGAAGCACACACCAGGAACCAAAAGTAATTTAAAAGAAATGCAACTCCTCTTAAAGAATCACCCCCATTCGTGCTGCCCAGGAGCCCCTGTCACCACTTCCGGATCTCCTCTGTGCCGAGAGGTCTCTGTCACGCAAAAAGGCCATTTCCCTTTATAAAGAACATTAGTGTAGCCTCCCTGCCAATAGGCAGGGATCCCTCCTCCAGCAGAAGACAGCAGGAAAAGAGCTCCAGGCTTGCCTTCAGTATGCAGAGGAAGTAAAGGAAGCCCCCAGTGCCCTATTCTCAATTCTTTTTGTCTCATCCAAATGGGTACCAAAATCTTCCTTTGAAAAAGCATTTTCTGTCTGTCGTCTCTGACGCACCTCTGAGGCAGGCAGAGGAGCCAGGAACGCTCGGGTTCCCACTTTGCAGATAAGCATCCTTTCTGTGATTTGCCCAAAATAAAGCTAGGCAGTGAGTGAAGAAATATCGTCCAGTGTTCCGATGACTCCAGGCCTCAACACGGAGAGAGCACGAAAGTAGGGGAGGGGGGACTAGAATGGTCCCAAGCTTGTTTGGATCGAATATACGCTGGGTTGCCTTTAGGGAATCGGGGATCAGAGGGGAGAAAAAAGGGTGGGGGTGAGAAGAACCATCACTGTTGCTTCCCAGACCCCTGGGATCATCCCCCCACCACCCCCAGCTCCGTGCACCACCCCCACCCCCCTTCCTCTGCAGGAGGTTGGTAGGAATCTCTCTCCTATCCCCAGCTTAACTGAGATAGAATTGCTTTTAACATTATGTACATTTGAGGTGTACAATGTGTTGATTTCATAAGGAATTACATTTTCCTTTAACTTAGCATCTAGGTGCTTTTCTTTTTTCTTTTTTAAACCATAACTTTCCCGGGCAGAAGCCTCTATGCCAGCCCAGTCGGAACGTCTCTGGTCGGCAGCCCCACATCACCACCTGCTGGGCCCTGGGCTGCCGGTGCTTTCCCGGGGCTGCCGCGTTCCCAGCTCCCTGGATTATCAGGTTTCTCTCCAGCCCCCTCCCCCACCGCCCCCTCGATCCTGGGCCATCTGTCCCTTTGCTGCCCACTCTCAGTCCTCTGAATAGCTCCATCCTTGGGGAGGAGGGTTTCGTAACCGGCCTGGGTGAGGGGAGGGACACCCCAGTGCTGCCAGGGCGTTCAGTCAGGTAGTTATTCCCGGAAACTGGCAGCTAAAAAAAGTCCTAATGGGGGAAGAGATTTCCAAGGAGGGGGCCCTTCTTTCAGCTCCCCGTCCCCCTCCCCCCTCTGCCGTGGATGGATGAGTGTGCATACATCAGAAAGGGGGGAGGGGAGAGGATGCCTTTCTAAAAATACAGCCCATCTGCCCTGTGTTAGCTGGTTTCCCCGGAAACCACTGGGAAGAGAGTGCACCAGCGGAGGTGGGGGACCTGGGGGCCTGAGCGGGCAGGGACCTCCCTGTGCTGGGGACGGGGCTCTCCCAAGAGCTCTCTGCAGCTCTCCATTATGTCCGTGAGGCCTGGGTGACCGGCAGCACCCAGCTCAACCTCAGCCTATTTGAACCCCAAACTAGGCTCTGGTGGGGACTCCCGTGTAATCTCGAGGCATTAGCTTCCTAATACTGATGCTTCCTGCTTCTAACAGGAGGGAGGGAAGCCCAGAGAAGGTCTGGAGCTGCACGCTGGTGTCACAGAAATCGGTTCCATCTGAGGCCCTGTGCCCTTGAGTCCCCGGCACTCACCACGCCAACTCCGCGGTCACTGGGCCTTCTGCAGGGAGAAGGGATAGGCAGGGGCAGGCTGGGGCGTGCCTTCTGACCAACCAGCTGGTGGGACTGTCAGCCTTTCGGGGCAGAAGGGAAGGTCCAAGGGCTTCCCCCTTGAGAAGATGAAAATAGAATTGATCCAGGACAAACAAACGGGAGGATGCCGAGGAATCCATCCTTCCTGGTCAGGGGGCTGTGGCCCTAAGGAATGAGCTCCAGACCCAAGTAGGAATCCAAAGACCCCATTTCCAGGCCTGGCCCCATCTGGGCATGCCGTGGAATCTCATGGATTCCTTATCTCACTTTCCTGGAGGGTGAAGTTAAATAACACAAGGACGTACTTCGTGAGCCGTGAAATGCTTGCAAGAAGGAACTGACGGTGCTCTTCATATCGTCTCTAAAAATTGCTGATTTTTCTAGATTTCAGATTGTGGACCCCTGTTTTCAGTCCTCCACCCAGGAAAGATGCCCATAAACTTTACAATGTGTATCCTTCCAGGCTTGTCTGCGGGGCTGGTCCTATTTTGTAATCTCAATGATCTTATATTTTATAACTTCTTTTTCCATTTATTAGAATACAGTAATTTCCCCCATGTTATTACACCATCATTCACAAGTGATTGACCCACGGTTTGTCTGGTGCCTTCTTCATGGACATTTAGCTTTTTCTAGTTTATTATTATTACTCGAGAAAGCACTGAGGTGAGCATTTTTACAGATAAATCATGAGGTACCCTGTCCGGTTTCCCTAGGAAATGCCTTCCCGGGAGAGGACTGCCGAGTCCCAGACCATGAACCTTTTAAATCACTTTAATTCATTCTGCAAAACTGCCCTCCAGGAAGAGGTAGCCGTTTCTATACCCACAGGTGGGACGCGAGGAGCGCTGGCTTCCGTGCGTCATTACCAGCACTGCCGACACTGTGCCAAGTCCATGGGCAAAAAAGAAAAAAAAAGTATCTTGTTTTTGTTTTAATTTTAATTTCTTTGACTTCTCATGAGCTTTATTTTCTCATGTATTTGTTGGTCAATTTTAATCATTTTACAGATTTCCAGTTCACCTCCTTGGCTAGTTTTTCTCCTAGTGCTTTCTAATCTGTGCCCTCATTAAGATCCAAGCGAGGATCACGGGGGTGTGTGTGATCCTGGGGGGTGGCTCCACAGATTGTCTCTGACTCCTCCCTCACCACGGGCTCCTCCAAATGTCCACGCCCAGCCGGGCATGCACACACACATGTGCACACATAACCGTTTCCTGAGGTTCAGACTGAAGCCTTGGTCTCCCAGGATACCCAGGATACCCAAGGATACCCAGCTGTTAGGGGTTGGGCGCTCGTATCTGGGGGCTGTAGGTTGAGCGGTCATCCCTCTCTGTGGCTGGAACATTTAGCTCAGCACCCCCTCTTTAAACCTCACTGTACACTCTGCCTGCCATGTTCCCAGGGCCATCCCCAGCCAGGCTTTTCCTCCCAGGCTCCAAGGCAGCCCTCGATTGTGTTCCTCCCTGTGCCCTCCAGGACCCCACTGTCCACTTCCAACCACAGGGGGATTCTGTCTGCTTCTGTGCCTGCTTCCGGCTTCCCCACACCCATCCCTCTTCATCTCAATGAATGCAGAGTTTTTCTTGACAATTGTTTTAAGAATGATCCTGTGGTGATTTTTCTCTTCTTCATTCTCTCTAGGCGTGTTTTAACTTTTAAGAGCAAATAATATAATGACGGCCTCTGAGCTAAACAGGCGGTTCTTGCCCCGTGCTGAGGCTGCACTTAGGGACCGGGAAGGGAGGGGGGCCGGAGGTTCCAGAAATGAAGTGGTGGGTGTGGTCCCCTGCGCCCCTGCACGGCGCTTGTGCTGTCCTCCTTTACACCGGGGAGATTCAGCAGCAGGGCCCAACCGTCGTCCTCCCTCCCTAGGGCTCCTGCTCCACGACGTGACCATGGCCGGGCTGCAGGAGCTGCGATTCCCCGAGGAAAAGCCACTGCTCCGGGGCCAGGACGCTGCCGAGCTGGTGAGTGGCCTTTTGCGGTCCTGGGGTAGAGGGCGCCACCTCGTGGCCAAGAAGAAAACCGCGTGCCTTCCCTCCAGTATTGCCGATAGCCTGGAGCCCAGGGACCCTCCTTGGGGAGCCGGGCGCCTGGAGTCCTTCCGCCACCCTGAGACCCATGCCTCTGCTCTGTTGCTTTTGCTGCCTTTGAGGCAGGGAGGCTTTTTAGGAGAGTGAGTCCCATTTCAGTGATGTGAAAACTGAGGCACAGAAAGTTAACTGACTTAGCCAAGGTCACAGAGCTGTTGGGAAGGAGGCCATGCTCAACCCTTGGTTCTGGAAGGCGATGGAGCCCCAAGAGGGTACCCGCTGGGCAGTGGCAGGGCCTTTCCTCCTCTGTGGACTTCTCTGTCCTTCCTCACAAGCTTCTGAGGACCGAGGGCAGCTATGACCAGCAGTGTCATCTGGAGCAGTGGGACTAAGGCACTTGAGATTGTTTTGTCCCCAAGGGTCCCCTCCCGGGCTCTGGGTGTTAGACTCCAGAGTTGTTTGTACCCCACATTTTCTTGTTGTGGTGATGCCTGGTGCAGCCTCCTTTTCCCTCCCTGCAAAGAAAAGCTGCGCATCCACTGCTCAGAGAATCCTTGAGCGTGGGGACCCCGAGTCTCTGCTGGTTGTGCCGCTCACCCCTCAGTTTACAGATGGGGAAGCCAGGAGCCCCATCCCCAAAACCTCGGCGCACTGGTCTCTGCCCTGCCCTCTCACAGCCTCCGGCCAGGACCTGAGCGCCAGAACCGCTGGGTGCCTTGTGTTGGGACAGAGTGGCTGGCTGGGTCTCCAGGGGCCCAGCCACACCAGGCTGGCAGTCCCGCCCGTTAACTTCAAGACAGAATCTTGGGTTAACGAACAAGACCTGAATATGTGGGGGCCCCAGGAATGGTCAGGGAGTGGCTGGTGAGCTGCCACCTTCCTTCTAGCTATCTCACTGGCCTGTTCCAAGGCCCCCCATCTCCTGTCTTGGGGCTGCCAGGAGCCTCCCCAGTGCTCTCCTTACTCTACAGCCTTTTAAAATATATCATGTCACTTTCTGCTTAAAGCTGGCCAGTGCCTGCCACCTGGCTCGAGCTGCAACCACTGTCCTTCCCAGGCCCAGGAGGAGGTCTGCAGCCCACCCCCAGCCTCCTCTCCTGCCAAGGGGCCCGCTACTCTTCCTTAGACCAGCCACTCCGTCCCCAGCTGCTGCCTTCCCCTGGGCTACCTTGCTCCAAACTTGTCCTCACTTTATTTGGGCTGCTCCAATGCCCCCTCCTCAGAGGGGCCTTCTCCAACTCCAGGTCCAATACTGACCCCCTAACAGGGATCCTGTCCGTTTTATTACTGGTCTCCCCAGGGCCTAGCGGAGCCTTGCACACCTAAGGCTCTCGGTGAAGAGGGTCGGGTCATCGCAGATTGTGATGTGTCTCAGAAGAAGGAAGTTTCCCAGAACTTCCTGAAGAAGTCCCCCCCCCCACCCCCCCCCCATTTCGAGGCAAGCAGAGCCCAGCCTGCTTGCGGGTCTAGGTGGGTAGATGGTGCCCTTGGGGACCCCTGCACCCTGCCACAAGAGCTGAGGCGTGGGGGTTCCGGAGCAGCTGCCCAGAGGCGCTGCCTGCAGGTACCAGGTGTCTGTGGACAGCACAGAGATCTGAGGGCACCCTGGCCTCGTGATCCCGGCCTGGCTCTCCCACCCTCCACCTCTGCAGGACACCCCAAGAGATGCCCCCACACCCCATCCCTGCCAGCCTGGCCTGGTCCTTACTGCCCCTCCCGCCCTGACTTGGTGAGCATGGCGCCTTTGACCAGCAGCCTGGCTCTGCCTTCTCTCTGCCGCATTTGGTGTCCCCTTCATCCCTCCTGGACCCGGACCTGAGTTTGCCACCGTGATGTGCCCTCCCTGCCAAAGGATCTGCGTTTCAGCCCTGAGCCCCCCACCGCTTCTCTCTTCCCTCGGCCTGGCACAAACCTCGTGCCCTAGCCCTGGTCACATCAGTATCAACGGCCCCATCCCCAACCCCCCCCCCCCCGCCCCAGGAACCCGTGTGCTCCCAGCATAGCCACTGCAGATTCTCGTGACCTCACTCTTGGGCTTCCAGAGCCATTCTGGCCCACTCTTTCCCAGACGTTTCCCCTGTTCTCTCTCCTAGCTGCAGCACAGAAAGGTGTCAGTCCCCTCGCTTCTTAAACCTTCCGCGGTCTGCTGGGTGCCAACTCTTTGCGTCCAGGGGGGAATGCAGAGTCCCACATCCTTACCCACCATCGAGCTCACCATTCCAGGCTTGCTTGCCTTGGAAGACCCGGACGCCAGGCGTGTCCAGGGCTCCGTGGGGAATTTGTTGCTCCTTCTGCCTGTGCCGTATCCCCATCCTCCGTCTCCCCCAAGCCGCTGCTGGGCCTCCTCCCAGCTGGGCCCTCTCGCCCACCTGTCTGCCTCAGATTGTTCCTGCTCTCCTTCCAGGACCTCCTGGGGCCCTGGGTTGGCGAGTATCATCCCTGCTCTTTCTTCATTGGCTCCTGCCCCTCCAAGGCCTTCTCATCTCCCAGGGACCCCTCAGCCCGCCGCTGGAAGCGCACAGCACGCCCCGCCATTATCTGCCTCATCCTTTGTGTTGATTTTGTTTTTCACAAAACTGCTTCCTCCTCTCCGCTCTTCGGGTCTTGAAATCTTGAGTCTAGAAATCTCACCGATCTCCTTCCCTGCCCTCCGGCTCGGGCGTGACCTTCCAGTGAGAGGCTTCATCAGGCACCAGCCTTGTCCCCTTCCCGGAGACCCCCCTCCCCTCCCTCAGAGGTTCAGGAGTGGCCTGGCCACCTCCGCACTCTTCACCCTTCCCGCAGGCAGAACCCCCAGGCCCTGGAGGAGCTGGGAGGTGAGGCCAGAGGACAGCCACTGTATATGCGACAGTCCCAGCCACGGGAAATCTGGCTTTCCTCTTGGGGTGGGAGACCCTCGAGATCCAACTCACTCTGTTCACGGCCCCCACCACCCTAACTGCCAGAAAGCAGGAGGTTGAACTTATCCTTATGTTGAGAGTAAAACATCCGAATTGCTGGTTTTCATTCTTTTCCTTTTAACTCCCATGATTTGGGGTCGTCTTCTGTCTTGTCCATTAGCAGAGCAGCCCTTGTCTCGCCCTCCTTGGATAACATCCTGGTCCTGATCTGACTGTCTCATTTATCCATGTATTCATGGGTAGAGCCTCCTGGAGCTCGTGCAGCACGGAAGGTCAAGTGCAGGAGTATAAAGGACAGAGTGACCGCGCTTCTCTTTAATCCTCGCAGACATGGAGGCTGTGAAGCGAGGTGGCCTGCCCCGTTTGTCACAGCCGAGGTTTCTAGACAGGCACAGCAGAAAGCAAGGCAGAGGGCCAGGGTCTCTGCTTTTCCTGGACATGTGCTGCTCCCCTCTTAACCCCATGAGGTTTCCTTCACTAGACCAGACCCACAGAGGACACACACGTGGGGTTCTAGCCCCCTCTTCCACTCTGCATCGCACGCCGCTGCCTTGCAAACAGTGGGTGCTTCCAAGCTGATTCCCCTCATTTGCATAAGCAGACGCGCATCCAGCTCTGTCTGGGTTTGGGGAGCCCATTCCGGCCCAGGCTTTGTGGGGAGAGCAGAGCCGGATGGGGTCCTGACCTCATGGGACTTGCAGCCCAGCGGGAAGGATGGGCACCAGCAACTCCCACTGTATGGTGTCAGTGATCCTGAAAGCAGGGACCTCTGTGCTTTGAGAGCACAAAGCAGGCAGGTCTGGAAAGGTGGGAGGAGCCGCAGACCCAGACACAGCCTTTGTGCAGCTTGGAAAAGCCCCAAGTTCCTCCCTTGCGGGGCCTCAGCTTCCCCATCCCTAATGTGGGTGTGTTCGTCCTGCCTCTCTCTACCCTCCTTCCCTGCCATCCTCTGCGGTGAGGCCCCCGCGGTCTGACCTTGGTGGGGCAGCAGGGCAGAGGAACCCCCAGCAAGGATTTGGCTCGAGTTCCCACCACTTTCTGGCCAGGTGAGTCAGCCTCTCTAAGCCTCCCCCTTCCCACCTGTAAGATAGACAGCTCCACAGTTTCAATTAATAGGTAAAGTTGGTCTGAGTAGCTGCTTGTAGGCTTATCCACCAGGCACTTAACTTGCCCGCTGCCTGGCAAGCCCTGGGTTGCTTTTGTTAACATTAAGCTGGACCCGGGAACACAGCAAGTGAGTCTGCTCCCGTCCCCTGGGAGCCGCCCGAGCCCCTGGAGCCCCTGGGCCAGGCAGGGCCTAACGCGCTGCCCCTCTCTTTGCCTTCCCTCAGGAGAACTCCGACACCTTCCTCTTGGCCGTGGACACAGACTGGAAGGTAGGTCTCGGCTCCACCTCCCCAGACAGGGGACTGCCAGCCGCCAGCCCCTGACCTTGCCCAGCCTGGTCCCAGAGGAGGGTCACTGCCCTTCTCACAGCCTCCAGGACCCCCCATCTCTTCACCCCAGCTTTCCCTGCTCCCTGCTCAGTGGAGACAGGCCTCTGCTCCCCTGCTGGGACCAGAGCAGGGGTGAGGCCTGGGGGAAGCGAGGATGGAGCTGGGATGCTGTCATCTGAATCAGCACTTTCCTCCAGTGAGGCTGGCGCTCTGAAATAGCTCCCGTTTCCGTGGAAACCGTCGCCGGGACAACCGTGTCCTCTTGAGTTTGATGCCAGGTTCCCTGTGAAAATTGAAATTGTTCTTTGTGTTTATTCCTCTGCATGGTGCCATTCCTTCCCTCTGAGTCCCATCGTGGCCCTCTATTTCCGGGCCTCAGAAAACATCTGAAGGCAGACGCAGCGGGAACCTCCACAGGTTCCAAAGTGCTGCTGGCCATCAAAAGCTGCTGAACCAAATCAGACCCTTCTAGGACCTTCCTCCTGGCTGGCCGGAAGGGCCCTCGCCTGAGCCTGCCTTCAGTTTGGTTTGGTCTCAGGAAGCCCGCCCCCCGCCCCCGGCCCCCATAGCCCCAGCCTCCAGGTCTGGACGCCAGGGTGACGCAAGGTGGGGAGGCCGGTAAGCTCCTCCCCCTAGCACCCTGTGCTGCAGCAGGGACCCGGATCCCAGGCCTGTGCGGCAAGCCCTGGGTCATGTGTCCGTTCAAGGACACCAGAGGAGGCCTTGGAGCCGCCCACGTGCATGTGCTCCCGTCCCCTGGGAGCACCGGTTCCAAACACAAAGGGGTCTGGAGCTGAGGACGGGATGGGGTCTGGGGAACAAACGGGAGCCCAGGAGCAGGGAGAGGAGGGATGTGGCTGGGAGGTGGCCCAGGCCCAGCTGGGGATCTGTGCGGGCGCCTCAAGGGGGACGTCTTGTTCTCCCAGCTCGGAGGAGGACAGGACAGACAGCCCCTTTGCGCCAGAAGGGGGCTGGAGAAGTAAAATCCCCAAGAGGCCAGGCTAGACCTGGCTGACAGCAGGTGGGACCCACCAGACCAGTAGTGTTGACTGCCAGCCCCCAAAACACAGCTGGGGAGTATGAAAGGGGCCAGGGGAATCCTGGGGTCCTTTGAACCTATGCCCCATGGGCCAGGCCAAGCTGGCTGGCCAGCTGTGTTCAGGCCCGTTTGCTCCGTAAAGGACAGCAGGTGTTAGAGGCTCCCGCCCCTCTACTCCACTTACACCCCCAGAGGCTGCCGCCTCTTTTTTCTTTTTTCCCCTAGAAAAGCAGCTGAGAGGATGCATGACCCTTATCTGGGCCAAGGCCTGGCAGGAATTTTGTCCCCTTTTCATTCCTTGCCTCAATGGACCCAGCCAGTGCGGGAGGCATGACAAACAAGAGCCCAACAGACCTGGGTCCAGGGCCTGTCCCTTCCACTTGTGGGCCGTGTGACCTCCAGCACCTGTCACTACCTTATCTGCACAGTGAGGACAGAGAGCTCAGACCTCCCCGGGAAGTGATGCCCGAGGCCCAGCACTCAGATCCCGAGCTCCCAGTGACTGTGGCCTCCAGAGTGTGGAGTCAGAGACAGGCAGCCTGGGTGTGGTCCCTGCTCCTGTGTGATGCTGGGCAGGTGACAGAACCTCTCTGTGCTTCATTTTCCTCATCTGTAAAGTGGATGTTAAGGAGATAAAATAAGGTGACTTGTGCAAGGTGTTTGGAAGAGCTGGCAAGTGGGAGATATGCTAATAAGCATTTGCTGCCCTTAACAAGTGACCCCAGGCCCTGAGTGCTAAGGTGCTGGAAAGCTCTGTGTTTACTAGCCAAGTGGGACAGAAAACTTCTCTGTGCTTTAGTTTATCCATCCTTTTCCATAGCTGTCCAAGGACTATGTGTTATCCTTGCAGCTGTCTACGCAGACAGCACAGCTGTTCTCCCATTTACAGATGTGGAGGCTCAGAGAGGTTGACTGACTTGCCCAGGGTCACACAGCAGAGAAGGGGAGGAGATACAGCTGGAGCCAAGGTTTGGCTGGCTAGGACCTGACTCTGCCTTGGGACCTGACCCGACCACAGTCCAGGGAAAGGACCACAGTGTGGAAAGACACACAGATTGCCCTGTTTCTCCCCTTAGGGCTTGGGCAGGCACGAAGTCAGGTCTGGAGCCCCTCATAGAGCTCTTGCTTGTTTTCACAGCAACTCTTCAGGAAGGCTGGATTCCTGTGTTACGGTTGAGCCTGAAGCACAGAGAAATTACAAAGCCTTACCTGGGGTTACCCAGCTAGTGGGTGGGGGAGCCAGGACTTGAACTCGGGTCTGTGGTTTTGAAGCCAGCGAGATGAGCGGAAATGGGGGCCTTGGCTGGGAGTGGGCAGTGTCCAGGGTTAGCTTCTCACTGGGGACCAAGAGTGGCAGAGCCCCTCGGAGGTCAGAGGTTGGACTGGGCATAAGGTTGGTTGGGGACCACAGAAGAGCAGTGGGAGGACAACCCTTGTCCCCTCTAAGGAGCAGGTAGGAGGAGTGAGGGAACAGGGCAGGGGCTGGGCTGTGCCAGAGTGGCCGCAGGGACCAGGGAGCACGGCCCGTCTCTAAGGGGCAGGGGGACACCCCATTCCGCACCCTCGCTGTGCCGGGAGAGTGCAGAGTGTGGGGTCCCTAGAGCCGGAGGTCACAGATGGGGCAGGGAAAGTTGTTGGTGCGCCCAGGGCAGAGGACGTGGCTGGGAATAGCACACATGGCAGGTGTTGACCAGGTCACTGGATGCCCAGAGATGGGGGGGCAACCCCCTTGCCTCAGGGCTGCCAGCCAGAGTGCAGGGCTGGCAGAGCAGGCCGGCCTGGGTGGCGCGTTCCCTCATGAAAGAGACGGAAAGGGGGCACAGGCGCCCAGCACCCTCCTCTGAGTCGTTCCTGCTTCTCTCAGTCCTCGGGCTCCCTCCTACCCTCCACTCCCTGACCCATTTCCTCTCCTCTCCTCTGCCTCCTCCTTCCCAGTTTACTCTGTCCAAGGGTCTCTAGCCAGCTCCCCACACAAGTCCTTGCTGCTCAGGAGGACAGGGCACGGGCCGCCCCCACCGTGGGTTGGCCCAGAACAGAGCTGGGGCGTCTGCAGGAGGCGGGCCCGGCTGCGCTGGCAGGCTGACTCTCCTCTTCTCCCATGGTGGCCTCCAGCCCCTTGCTGTAGGATGCAGATGGGAGGGCAAAGCTGTTGTGTGCCCACCATGCCGCTGGTCCTGCCAATGGCCCTGTGGCCAGGCACGGGGCGTACATGTGGCTAGAGTGGGGGCTGCCCTAAGGGAGACCCTGGGGAGTGGAGGAAGAACAGGCCCTGGAACAGGGTCACCACAGGTTGCCCCAGATAGCCAGTCACTCCCCCATCCTGTCAAGGTTAAGTGAGCCAGACCGACCTGAGGTGGAGGCTGGGCTCCCAGCCCTCTCAGGCCCTCCCTGCTCCCCAGGGAACGGGTCAAGGGCTGTGCCATCCAGGGCATGCCTGTGTTCCCTGCCGTATGTTGGGGTGCGTGTCCATGAGCGGCTCCTGAGTCCCTGACACAGGAAACACCTGTATGGGTAGATTCTTGTCTCATCTTCCCAGGATCCTGCATGCGGCTGGGGGGTGGGGTGGGGTGCAGGGCCTGGGGACCAGTAAGGATGCTGTGTTGCTGGGAAGTGGGGGGAGCAGGAGGAGGAGCAGGAGCTGGGGTGAGTGAGGACTTTGGAAGCCAATGAGAGCCGGGTTCGTCTCCCGCCTGCCAATCTGGAAGCAGGGGCTGGGGAGAGCAAGTGGCTGCTCAGAAACCCCGCAGGGAGGCGGGGCAGGCCTTCGGCTGGGCTCTGCATATAAATGGCCCAGGGAGCGGCACCCCATCACAGCACCGCCATCTCCCCCTCGCTCTGCCCCCTCCCTCTGGACCCCGGTGACTCAGGCCTTTGTTTGCCCTGCCTGGTAGAGGCGGATCGCCTTCTCGCTCGGCAAGATGCCGGAGTGCTGGGATGGGGTGAGTGAGGGTTCTGGGGGCGGCCAGGTGGGTAGGGAGCAAGGGACAGCCCGTGCCTCTGGTGGCGGAGCTGCTTTTGGTCGCCTCACCTTGGGCATCACGGAGGCAAGGCCGGCGGCAGGTTCTAGAGTCCCTAGTGCCCCTGGCCTGCAGCAGTGGCTAGGGGGTCAGCTGCTAGTCAGGGCCTGCGGGGAAGGGCTGAAAGCCGCAGAAAGCGGAATGAGCTGTGCGACCTGCCTGCAAGCCTGGGCGCGCGCATCTTCCATTGACGGTGTGCCCTTGGCCTGGCAGGTGCCCGGCTGGCATCTGCCGCGGGCCTGTGACCGCCTCAGCCCCGGGGGGGGGGGGCTCTCTTCCCTGCACGTGTCAGGGTGTCACTCTTCCTGACCCCGCAAGGGTTGTCCTGGTTGTTTGGGTGGCTGCACCGGAGTGAGAACGGAAGGACAGCCTCTTCCTTCCTTCTTCCTTGCGGTCCCCAGGGAACTTCGGAGCCAGTTTGGCTGAGGCGGGGATGTCTGGGCCGGCTGCTGTCACAGCCTTCAGGCCGAGGTCCCTGCGAGAGCGGAGATGAGGAGGGGTTGCGGTGTCTTATTTGGAGGGTGGGGGAAGGCAGCGCTGGAGCCATGATCCTGCTGGGGTAAGGGCCCGGGGCAGCAGTGCCCAGGGGTACTGTTCTTCCTCAAAGACGGAGAAGCCAGGACCCAAGTCCTCCTCCACCCCTCGCCCAGCCTGCCCTGCCGGGGCACAGCACCCCCCCCCTCCGCTGCTCCGCACCCATACAGCACGTCAGCGCCTACCCCAGGTGGTCGGCCCAGTCGCTGATGTGGTTGATGAAATGAATCGTACTAGCCGCCTCGCTCTAGCCCCTCACCCCCACCCACACGTTGAAACCCAGCTGGGACCACCCGCCACCCCAGCTCTCAAGGTCATGAGCGAGGGGAGACGGACCCATCAAGAGAGGACGTCAGAGCCCCCGCCTCCAGGTGGGCGCTTGCCCCGCTGCGGCAAGGGAGGGGGCTCTGACGTCACTGGCAGCCAATGAGAGCGCTCGGACCTGGGGGCTGGGGGCTCAGAGCCCATCCGGCTGCAGCCCTCCGGTCGCCCGTCTGGTGCTGCGCCCCGAGGGATGACGGGGACACTAGGCTCCTGTCTGGCTGAGCTGGGTCAGAGCTCCTGGGTCGGTGGCGGGGTGGGGGGGAGATGGGGGGGTGGGTGTTCCGCCAAGTCACTGGGCTGCACGGGACCAGCCTTTGGGGGAGGAGAGCACTGTGCCTAAGTCCCGAGGCCCAGGGTCTGCTGATGGTGACGCGGGGTCACACCAGGGCTGGAAGCGGGTAGACACCCCCCTCGCACAGCGACCGGTGGCAGAGGTGTGTGGGTGGACGACTGCCGCCCTGGGCCCTGACTGGTACCCCGGGGCCAGCGCTGACCCCCGCGGAGAACCGCCCTTCACGCAGCAGGAAGCGCATTGCAGCTCTTGTGTGCATGGCGCCCCTCCTGCCCCCCACCCTCTGCCCTCCAGAGCTGAGGGAGTAGTGTGGGGGCTGGGGGACCAGGCAGCACGGCCCCCCAGCAGGGACAGGAGGCCGTGGAGAGCTGCCTGCTTGGAAATCTCTGGAGCGGAGCCTTCAGGGCATTCTCCTGGCCTCGGAGGCTGGCACCTGGTAAGGCCCAGCTTACCCCTTCTGGGCTTGACCTTGAGCAACTCATTTCTCCTTTCCCAACCTCAGTTTGCTCCTCCAGGACTTGGGTCCCTGTGAAAAGTAAATGAGACACACGATGGTCAGCCATCAGTGAGCAGGAAGCGTTCCTTGTTTTGTTGGCCCTGAGGACAGGCCTGGGATGTGGGGAGCCTGTGGTAGCCCTGGGCCCACTTAGAGGACATCAGGTTTATTGAACAGGGCATCATAGCAGAATTGTGGCTCCCAGGGTTTGGCCTTTGGCTGTGGGGTTGATGCTACCTTGTCATTCCCTGCTGAGACACAGGGGTCCTCTGAGCCCTGACCCAGGAAGACGAGACCCCAGGAAGCTGTCTCCTGTCTTGAATTCCCCCTTTTCCATCAGGAGCAGGAACTTGGCTTCTCTCTGAACCTAAGTGTTCTCCACGTGCAGAAGGGGAAAATGCATGCATAACATGCTTGGCACTTGGCACACATTTGGGGGTCAGTCACTCCTGCCCTTGACCTTAGCCCCACCTCCCACTCACAGGGCCAGCTCACACCCGTGGTGCAGGGCAAGGCTGTTAATTCAGCTCTGACAGACCCTCCTGGAGTCTGACCATCAAGCCACCAAAAGTGACTAGTTTGCAGAGAGACCAGCCCCCAGGGCACATCCCCGAGGCTCAAGGATGCCTGCGTACATTGGCCTCCTCCTCCAGCATCCAGCGCCTTTTCTCAAAGGACTGGCAACCCCAAGCCGCAAAATCAAGGGAGTGAACCAAGAGGATCCCAGAGTGGTCACTGCAGAAGGCCTTTGGGGTTGGGTTCTAACCACACCCTGCCGGAAGCGAGGCCTTGGGGGTCACGGGGATGGGCATTGGAAGGAGAAAACGTGAGCAAGAGTCTGGAGGTGGGAGCCAGGGACAGTGTGGGTGCCGGAGGCTGGGCTTGGCTGGGGGCTGGGGGGTGTGACTGCAGATTTCAGGTGGGGCTGTCCAGGCCATTGACCTTCAGCAGCAGCCCTGAAGGATTCTGAGTGAAGAAACACGGCGAGGGCAGGACTCAGGCTGGAGTGGCTGTGCTGTCCTGGAGGGGGGCTGCAGTGACTTGGAGAGAATGAGCTTCACTGGACCCTGCAGGGCCAAGAGTGGCGGGGACTGGGCAGTGGCAGGCCACCCCACTGGTTAGCAGACCTCCCTGTGCACGCCAGCCATCCAGGAAGGGTGCTCCTCCCCCCTGCCCCAGGGTCTGCTCTCCTGGGGGGCTGCCCGGGGCGAGGGGTGTGGTGGAAGGAGAATAAGATGCCCCCTGCTGGGAGGTGGGGGGGGGTTGCCCACCACAACCAGGAGTAAGGGCTGCCCCTGTGCTATTTTCCCTCCAGGAACATGACATTGAGACACCTTATGGCCTGCTGCACGTGGTGATCCGGGGCTCTCCCAAAGGGAACCGCCCGGCCATCCTCACCTACCATGATGTGGGCCTCAATCGTAAGTGCACCCCCGTCCCATCCTGCCTGCCTTGGCCTTCCCTCCTTCCCCGCAGGGCCGCCGACATCCCCACTCACGCTCAGCTCTGTGACCTTAGCCATCTGGGCCTCGGTGTCCCTGCTGGACCATGAGGCGGATCACCTCCACCTTCCCTCCCTCTCAGGCCCGCAGGCCTCCCCACCCCTTTGCTGAGCCACAGCCGCGACTGTGTCTTTGCAGACAAGCTGTGCTTCAACACCTTCTTCAACTTCGAGGACATGCAGGAGATCACCAAGCACTTCGTGGTGTGCCACGTGGATGCCCCCGGGCAGCAGGTGGGGGCGTCGCAGTTTCCCCAGGGGTAGGTACCGGGGAGCTCTCCCCACTCCAGATCGCCCCGGCTCCGTGGTCCAGGCCGCGCCCGGCCCTGACCGCCCGCTCCACCCGCAGGTATCAGTTCCCCTCCATGGAGCAGCTGGCCGCCATGCTCCCCAGCGTGGTGCAGCACTTCGGGTGAGTCCCACCCAGACCCTGGTCCTGGGCTGGGGGCCGGAGGCTGCCCCGCGCCGCCGCAGGGCCAGCAGGCACCGGCTGAGGGCAGTCGCGGGCAGCGCCTCCCCTGGCCCTGGAGTGACCAGCCCTGCTCTCCGCCAGGTTCAAGTACGTGATTGGCATCGGAGTGGGAGCTGGAGCTTACGTGCTGGCCAAGTTTGCCGTGAGTCTCCCTCCTCCCACACCCCTCCCAGGGCTGGCCTCTCCCTGCAACGCTTCAGCCACAGCCACAGGAACATTTGCTCTTTCTTCCTGCTGCTCCCCCTCCCCCTACTTCCTCTTCACTTAGAAAATCCCCCCCCCCTTTTTTTTCTTTTTCATCCCAGGAAATTAAAAAGAGAAATTATTTTTCCATACATTTCTTCAAAAGACTATAAACGGTAACTTGCATAGCCATTAGCCCAAACCCAAATATCTGCGAGCCACAAACTCTACAACAAATTGTTCTAGCCACTGAGCAAGGATTTTCCTAATCACTTACACACTAATTAGGGTAATTTTTACTCTTTTACATTTCTTTCTTTTTTTTTTTTTTCAAAGATTTTATTTATTTATTTGGCAGAGATCACAAGTAGGCAGAGAGGCAGGCAGAGAGAGTGGGGGAAGCAGGTTTCCTGTGGAGCAGAGAGCCCGATGCGGGGCTCCATCCCAGGACTCTGGGATCATGAACTGAGCTGAAGGCAGAGGCTTAACCCACTGAGCCACCCAGGTGCCCAATAAATGGGAGTCATTTCTTAACCAAAAATTACACTTATGTTAAGTTTGGAAGAATTATTTTTTTTTTCAAATTGTCACATTCTAGTTGCCATTCTGATATTAAAGATTTTATTTATTTGTCGGAGATGAAAGTGCACAAGCAGGGGGAGCAGCAGACTCTTGGCTGAGCAGGGACCCCATGTGGGGCTTGATCCCAACCCCAGGATCATGAACTGAGCTGAAGGCAGACGTTTAACCGACTGAGCCACCCAGGCACCCCAGTTTGGAAGGTTTAAAGGAAGTTGCATTTCAGAAACATCACATTGAGTAGGAGCCCATAGGCTTTTCCTATCTGAAAACAGAAACTTAATTTTCAGGATTCAAAAATTTTTTTCTATTTAAATATTTCTTTTTCCAAAAGAAAAGGCCATGCATTTTGAACTCCAGTGTGGATTTTGGCACTTACCGCTTGTTAGCTGCCGACCGTTCCCAGTCCCCCCAGGAACACTGACAGGATAGCAGAATCCTATGTATATCACTGCTTTCCGCTGAAGAAATCATTCGAGTCTCTTTTACATTTGAACACAACACAGGCTTTGGAAAGGTCAGTTTCCTTCTTCACTAGGGTTTTTTTCTCTGTGAAAGCAAAGAAACAAAATACTTCGTTGAAGATGTTTACTCCTCGGTTTTACATCAGCACCATAGTCAGAGACTTACTAAAAGGCGTGGAAAACAAGCCACAGACATAGATTCCAAATCAGTCAAAGAATTGAGAAAGGTTAGGGGAGGGGAAGAGGGCAGGAGGAGGACGAGCAGGGGCCGTAGGCAGGGGAGCCCAGGCAGGGGTCCTGCTGGGCCCCGAGTCATCTGTGACATCCTCTTCTCCTCGGACCTCCCAGCCACCTGTGACATAGGCAGGGCAGGCACCTTAGAGCCGGAGCAGAAAGACAGGCTCCCTCCACACCCTCCTGCCTCCCACACCCTGTCTCCTTCTCACCGTAGCTCATCTTCCCTGACCTGGTGGAGGGGCTGGTGCTGATGAACATTGACCCCAACGGCAAAGGCTGGATCGACTGGGCGGCCACCAAGGTGAGCGTGGTCCTGGTAGACAGGGGTGCTGGTGCTGACAGTGGCCTGCGGGGGAGGGGCTGACAGTGCTGGGGAGGGGCTGCACTCATGCACCACCCCTCCTGCCCCCCCCCCCCCCAGCTCTCTGGCCTCACCAGCACTTTACCTGACACGGTGCTATCCCACCTCTTCAGTCAGGTAAGGGGGTGGGGCCCCCGTGGGAGCTGCGCTGGGGGCTGACCTGGGGGTCTTGGGAGCCTCTAGAGGGCCTGGTTCTTGCCCAGGGCTTGTACCCCCTCACAGCCAGGCAAGAGGAGGAGGTCTGGGTGGGTGTTCTGGGGCATCTGACCTATCTCCCCTTGGCTGAGACAGATGGGGGCTCCTCTGACTGCCGGATGGAGCCCTCCCCTCACTCCACGAGGCACCGCCCCCATCCCCGCCGTGGGAAGAGGGCTGCAGGCTGTGCTACCTGCAAGCCCCCTCTGAGACCCCATCCCCGTCTGTCCGCTCCCCTCCACGCACCTCCCCCATCTGTCCCCCGGGCCCAGGAGGAGCTGGTGAACAACACAGAGCTGGTGCAGAGCTACCGGCAGCAGATCGGGAACGTGGTGAACCAGGCCAACCTGCAGCTCTTCTGGAACATGTACAACAGGTGCGGGCGGTGCGGGCTCAGCTCTGGCCCCAGGCCCTGAGTGCTCGCTCTGCCGGGGCTCGGGGAAGGTGGCAGGCTGGACACGTGCGCTCCCCGGTCTGCAAGTGGGCAGCTGGGTGCAGCTCTGAGAAGAGTCACTGCTGCCCTTGAAGGGCAGACAGGGAGCAGGGCTGTGGACGGACTTGGGGGCTTGGGCTCTTCCACGCCTTCTCCCGTGGGACACTGCGGTCCCGCCAGGGGCGGCGAGGGATGCCAGCAACATCCCTGACCCCACGGCCTGAACCTCCGGGCTGACATCTGTAGGTGGGGAGGAGGCTGGATGAAGCCCACGGTTTTCAGGCTGTGCTCCTTGGAGCCCACTGGCCTTCCCTCTTTCCTTCCTCCTACTAACATTTATTAAGCTCCTGCTGTGTGCGTGGTGCTGGGGATACAGTGGAGAGCCAGAGGACCAGGCCCTGCCTGCCTCTCTGACCTTGGATCCGCATGCATGGGCAGTGGTACATGTTGGGGTCGTGCTTGGAGGGGGAGCGACAGCCAAATTGAGGGCCCACCTGGCATGAATTGGGGGGTCTGAGAAGTCCCATATGAGGGGACACCTGAAGACCCCCTATTTGTGCAGGCCATGTCCCTGTCTCCCCGTTTGTCAGCTGGGATCTGGGAGGCCTTTTCCATAGCTGAGACAATTCAATAACCATAAGCCCCAATTCTGGGCCCAGACGTGGACGTCGGGCCCTTTTGCCACTGTGGGACTCTGGGTTGGGGCCTGGTGCGCACGACCCCTGGCATCCCATCCTGAGCTACCTGTCTCTACTCTTCCTCTCTCTCTGCAGCCGCAGAGACCTGGACATTAACCGGCCCGGAACAGTGCCCAATGCCAAGACGCTCCGGTGAGTGCCCTGCACCCCCCAGCCTGCCCCTGCCCCCTCCTCCCCCGGCCCAGGCCAGACAGCCCTTTTCCTCTGTGTCTGCAGCTGCCCAGTGATGCTGGTGGTGGGGGACAACGCACCCGCTGAGGATGGGGTGGTGAGTGAGGGACTGCGCCCTGGCTGGGGGGTGGGGGGCGGGTGGGAGGCGGGAGTAAGGGCATCATTGGCCTCTGGCCAGTGGGACCAGAACCTGGATGTTGACTTCTCAGCCCATCTCCCCACCATCTTGCCATGCATCTCCACCAGGCAGGCCCACCCTCTAGGTGAGGGAGGCGTGTAGATGGAGGGAGCTGGGGCCAGACCACCTGCCAGTCACCCCCTCCCTCCGTCCCTCCCAGCAGTGTAGCCCCACCCCAGTCTCTGCTGACCTCAGGCCCAGAGATGGAGCTCTCTTCTCTGCATTCATTCACTCTGCAGTAATCCCTGAGCACGTGCATCCTGGGTCTAGCCATGGCTCCCATTGCCTTTGGGGATCGTCACCTTCCCCACTGAAACTCTGGAAGCAGGCAGCCCAAGGCTTCATGTCCCCGTTAGCACAGAGCCCTTAGGGTCCAGGAGTACCTGGGGCTGCCCCCAGTGTGCCCAAAACAAGGACACCTTCCCTGTGCCTCAGGGCCCGGAGGAATAGGGTGTAGGAATAGGGTCCAGACTGTCTGGACCCAGGCAGAGCACGCCCCCTCCGCCTCTGCCCCATCTTTTAATGATCCTTGACCCTCCCTCATCTCACCGCCTGATCCCTGTGGGCCCTGGAGCTTTCCCAGCCACGCCCATCGAGGTGGCCCCAGCTTCCTGTAAAGACATGGCCCAGCCCCTGCCCCATTCCTGCCCTACCAGCAGTTATGAGTGGAGTTCAAGGGTGTCGAGTCCCTCGGGGTCGGGGTGGGGGACCGCTTCCTGATCGGCAGGGGCTTGGACTTTCTGAAGGCAGCCTGCATGCCCTCCCTTACCAGTAGAGCTTCCCAGCTCTGGGACCAGAACCTGCCTTAACAACTGGGGGTAGGGGACTTCCCAGCGCCAGGGCTGCCTTACTCTGCTGACCTTGTCCTTAGGTGGAGTGCAATTCCAAGCTGGATCCGACCACCACGACCTTCCTGAAGGTGAGGCCTCCCTCCCCCACTGGAGGCCAGCTCCCCAGCCAAGGGTCCACCCTCGGAGGGGCGTGCCTGGGGTCTCATCCGAGGCAGGAGCAGGCAGTGTGTCTGCTCAGGGCAGCCTATTTATGTATACAGGGCCTGGGCAAAGTGTGGGGTGACCCCTGCTCATCTCACCCCCCTCTCTTCCCTGCAGATGGCAGATTCCGGGGGACTCCCCCAGGTCACACAGGTGAGACTCCTGGCCCTCCTTGCCTTATCTAGCCTGGTGCGGGAGGCTTCCCTTCCCCCCAGTCTCAGGCAGCCAGTCAAAGCATGTGACTTTCTTCTCTCTGTCCCGCAGCCAGGGAAGCTGACTGAGGCCTTCAAATACTTCCTGCAAGGCATGGGCTACAGTAAGTCAACCTCCCTGGACCCCGCCCTAGAGGCGTGGTGGGGGGCAGATGGCAGAAGGGGTCTGGCACACCGTGTGGGGGTGATGGCGAGCAGCCTGCTGGCGTGTGACTTCTGTGTTCGCCGGGCCCGGAGGCCGCGTGTCTCCCCACACGTTCTCACCATGACTGGGGACTCCAGGTAGTCTCCACCTGAGTTGTGAGGAGGTGATCCCAGGCTGTGTCGGGCTCTCCTGTGCCCTCTGGGAGGCTTTGGGACACTGTTCTCATGGCCATGTGGGGCGGTAGGGTCTTCTTCAGGCCTGGGGGACCAGAGCCCGGGGCTGGGTCCTGCCCACGAAGCCCACGTAAAGCTGAGTCCTGCACACCACCCGCTGCCCCGCCAGACCCACAGCACCTGAGAAGGGCTTTTGCCACAGGGTGGCCCATGGTATCGGGGGCGTCAGAGGGGGCTTGGGGGCTGGGGCCTGAAGAAAACATGTGGGAGAGCTAAAGGCAGCTGAACCTGGGGGCGGCACGGGTGAAGACCCCAAGGTAATAGGGGCTGTGGAGTGGCAACGGCCACCCTCCTCCCCTTTGCCGACTGCCCCTTAGCAGGGATGAGATGCCCAGACTGCTCAGGAGTGCCTCCAGCCCTCGCGCACGCACACACGCATGTGCACGCACACACCTTCTCATTTCCTTGATTCCAACCCCTCCCCGCCCCCCTGTATACTTGGCTCTCCTGCTGGAACTCCTCTCCCTGAATTTGTGTCTCCCCCCAGCCTTCAGCCTCTGGAGCTTGTGCCTCTGTGGAAAGACAGGGAGGGAAGACTGTGAGGGAAGGCTGGGGGCCCAGCCAGGAGTGAGCCTGCCAGCCTCTCTGGGGAGAAGTAGGGCAAAGAGAGGACCGAGCCAACAGAGGGACACAGCAGGAGCTCTGAGGCTGGGCCTGAGCTCCAGGAGCTCCCACCGAACGTCTGTGGGATGGGTGGACGGGCCCTGCCTGGTAGGCTGGGACCTGTTCTCAGGGCCCTATGAGAAATGTCGTTGGGCAGCCCAAGAGCCGGGCAGGATGTAGGAGGTGGTGCAGGCCTCCCCCAATCTGGGCCTGGGGAGACTGAGGCCCAGAAGAAGGGAGGGTGCTGCTGCTAGGGATATGGGCCCCAAAGCCCCTCTCGCCATGAGGCCCTCGGTGCCGCAGCCCAGACTAGAGAAGCGGGGGCAAGAGGAGTGTCCCCAGCATGGCGTCCGGGCTCCCTCATTCCTCATTCCTTCGGTGGGCGGGCAGGAATGGGCTTCCTGAGGCTGTGGTCCGGCCCGGCCCGCTCTGTGCCTGTCCTATTGTCTCCTCTCCCTGCCCTTGTGGGGCCACGCTCTTCACCCGAGTTCTGTGTCTCCCCCCCCCCCCCGACCCCGCCCTTCTGGCTCTGTCTTCTCTCTTAGTTGCATACTTGAAGGACCGAAGGCTGAGTGGAGGAGCAGGTAGCCCTGTGCCCCCTCCCATGCATGGACCCCTGCCCCACAACCCCCTGCCCCTTCCTCTGTGCGGTGCTGCAGCCGGGCCTCATCTTGCTGGGCTTGGGAACTTTCTTGTGTCCTGCTTGCCTCCAAAGTCCGAAAGAGTCCTGCTTTGTCACAGATCCTGGACTCCAGTGGGTTGTGTCCCCTGTTCAGAGTGGCTGGGGTTTACAGCAGTCTGGCTTATGGGGTGCCGTGGGCCGCGTGGCTTTCAGAACTCAGGCTGTTGGAACCAGAGCCTCACAGAGCGGAAGCCCAGGCCTGGCCCTGGGAGCAGGGGCGTCCGGCCATGCCCGAGCTGGATGGATGGCCGGTTGCATTCAGGAGGGTGGAATTCGCCCTGAGAGTCTTGTTTGTGCAACTCGGAGTACAGACAGAAACTGGATTTAAGGCAGTCTGTGGCCTCTGCACCTTGTCCTCCTTGAAGAGAAGTAGTCATGCTCCTCTGTCCAGTCATCCTCTGGAGGGAGGCATCGTGGGAAATACGTCCATCCCTGCACCAGCTCAGGGGGCCCCAGTCCAACCACCCTGCTCTAGCCGTAGCTCTGGCCAGCTGTCATGAGATGGGTCCTGCTGGCCTCTGCGGGGGCCCCCGGTCCCCCGCCTCTTGGGCTCAGTCACTGTTGCTGGTGCTGCATGCCCCCGGCTTGACAGGGCAGATGCCAGAGCCGCGGCTTGAGACGGGCCCCTGCACCGTTGGAAGAACGGGTCTGGCTGGCCGCTTCGCTTGCGTCAATCCTTGTCCCACCCGCCGGCCCCTAGCCCTGCCTGCCCACCCTCACGCCCGCTCCCATCTCTGTCCACAGTGCCCTCGGCCAGCATGACCCGCCTCGCCCGCTCTCGTACGGCATCTCTCACCAGTGCCAGCTCGGTGGATGGCAGCCGCCCGCAGGCCTGCACCCACTCAGACAGCAGTGAGGGGCTGGGCCAGGTCAATCACACCATGGAGGTGTCCTGTTGAAGCCCTTGGCCCGGCAGAGACACCCACCTGCCCCCGCCCGCCTCAACGTCCCACTGCCATCCTCGCGCCGGCTCGTTTTCCTTTTAGTTTATTTTTGTGAAGGCCAAGGGGAGGAAATGGGTTTACTTCTCTTTTGTTAAAAAAATGAGGGGATCCATCCTAGATGCTGCAGAACAGTCTCCAGGTGGTTTTGAGAGACTCACTCCTCCCCACCCCCAGCTCACTCACCTTGTCAACTTGGCTGACTTAGACCCCCTTTTTCAACTCCCCACCGTCAGGGTGGGGTACAGGGAGGAAGGGGATTTGCTAAGGAGAGAGTTCGAGTGCTTCTCTGGGCAGGATCCAGGATAATAATATCCTAGACAGAAGAAAGCACGGGATGGCCCCCTCGGGCAGGCAGTTGGAGAAGGCACGTGGTTTTGAGGTGGTGTGCTGGGACAGCAGGAGCCACAGGGTCCAGCTCAGGTACTGAGGGGACAACCAGGAGGAGGCACTGGGGGGCCCTGGGAGGCAGGAATCCTGGAGCTCTGCAGGCCCCTTTCTCCCCATCTCCTCCACCAAGCGCATCTGTTTGTCTTTTTGCACTTGTGACAATCACCTGAACTGTAGCCACAAGGGGGCGCTCCTACCAGGCAGCGCTTCCCTGGTGCCTCTGGGCTGGCCTGGTGATGGAGGGCCTGGTGATGGAGGTCCAGGCAGGTAGGGTCCAAACAGGGTTTCTCTGCCCAAGGAAGACAGAACACAGAGGACCTAAAAGGCAAGAACCCATTGACTGTCTTAGCCCAAACACTCCACCACCTCCTGGTCTTGGCCCATGTTTGAGCCAAGGCCCAGAGGTAGAAAGTTGCCTGATCCTCTGTCTCCATTGGGACCTGATTTGGGGACTGAGCTTAAATGCTGGGATAGCCCATGAGGGTTGGATGCACCCAAGAACTTCATGGTGTCTGCCTTCGGGAGCCAGTATGTGGCTGGAGGCAGTGGTGGCTGAGAGTCTTAGTTCCATGGAGGACAAGATTTTTGCCCACAGGTTCCGTGGAGGACAACTCAGTCAGCAGCAGTATGTCCAAAACCACCAGAAACATGGTATTATCTCTGGTCCTGGTCAAGCTATGCCAGTATTTTCTGTGGACATCACTAAGAAAGAAGAGAGTTTATTTGGAGAGAAATGGTCTAAGGTAGCGAGACTTCTGCAGGCCCCCACTGCCATCTCAGGACGTCTGGAGTGGCTTGGGCTGGGGCTTACTGGGTCCTGGGGTGGGAAGTGAAGTTTCCTGAAGTGAACATGAGCCAGGCTGAGGAGAAAAGTTCTCCACACACCCTGGTCTCCTCTTTTCACCTGAAGCCCAGGGCTGTGCCATACACATCCCACCTACCCACACTATCAGGGAGAATCTCTTGGCCCAGAAAGCAGAGCCACTGGTCTCGGAGCCTAAATCAGTTGCCACACAACCTGAAACCAGAGGTGAGAGAGCGATGCGAACTGCAGGGCTGTGGAGGGGACAGTTGCGTGTGGGGTGCTGAGGCTGAGCGGACACCTGCATCCACCTTTCCTTGGCACATATCACCCCCTTCTAGAATCTTAAGCCATTACTAGACTGCTCTAGAGCCTGGTGGAGTGTTCGTCTGTCCCCAGTTCTATTCACTCACGTGCTTCCTTTGAATATCAAATGTGACTGTTTGAAAAGCTGGTAGAATTAATCTCTCTTACTGTAGATAGCGCTGCAGACCTTGGATTTTTTTTTTCCTGTGTTCTTTCAGATGAGATATCTATAAATATCTATACATTATATATATATATATATGTATATTGGGTCTTCCTGCGTGTGGTTTTCCATCGGAGGTTGTCTCTTTGGTCAAAGTGAACTTTTAAAGGAGTTATTTTCCTTTCCGTATAAAGTGAAGAACCTAATTTTGTGTATTCCAGTGGCTGATGTCATGAAACTTTGAGATGACAAAATGTAAAACAAATAAAACCCTTGTCAAAGTAGAAAGTTAACTGTGCTGGCAAACTAATAAAGAAATGAAGAAGAATTCGAGTATGGTAACATCAGGCCCATCACAGGAAGCTTTTGAAAAGGCAGCCTTGAGGTTGGTGCTTCTTGGGCTTAGGTGGGACTGAAAATGCAGGAGTTCCCATCCATGTTTCTATTTCCGGTTTTTGTTTTTTGTTTTTTGTTTTTTCCTTTTCTAAAACTCTACCCCCACCTTGGGGCTTGAACTCAGGACCACCGGGTGATCAAGAGTCACCTGCTCTACCAAATGAACCAGCCAGGTGCCCCACTTATTTCCAGGTCTCCTCACATTATCTTACTAATTATTATTTTTTTTTTAAATTTTTTTATTTGAGAGAGACCATGAGCGGCGAAGGGGGGAGGGGGAGGGGCGGGGTGGCTGGGGGAGCGGGGCTAGGCGATCCCAGGACCTTGAGAACCCGACCTCCAACTGAAGACAGATGCTTACCTGAGCTACCCAGGTGTCTCTCCAATCCTTACATTAATTCCACTGGATATATATAACCATAGTTTCACAGGTGAAGAAACAGAGCCTCAGGATAAGGGATTTGCCCTAAGAAGCAGTCAAGCTAGGAGCTGGCTTTAGCATTGCAGGACTTCAAAACCCCGCTTCATTTTCTAAACTCAACAGCATGCTACTTTCCTATGTTTAACCACCACTTCTGACTCATTAACTCAATAAACATAGCGTTCCTGCTACGTGTCAATACAGCACGTAAATAAAAATAAACCCCACCATATGCGTATGATGAAAAACAGAGGGATACACCAGCGAGTGCGTGCAAAGGTTGTTTATTCCCGTTCTGAGAACCCTTCCCATGCCCCTCGGAAGCGCACAAGACCTGCCCCACGGCGCCCGGGCACGCAGGCGCGCGCACCCCAGCTCTGTGCAAAGAACATCTTCGATTATCCTAACGACCAGTCCCGATGAGGAAGGCAGGCCGGCCGCCCACTTGGGTGCGCTCACAGCCGGTCACCCGGGAGGCCCTCGCGCTGGTATCCAGAAACTGAGTTTTGTTCTCCGAAATGTCTCAGCTCTTGGAGACAAAGGGGAGAGAGTTGGGCCTGGCTCGGAACCAGGCTCGAGGCGATACAGGGAGACGTCCGACCGCCCGTTTCCTAAACCCAACTGCGAACTCCCGGGCTTCAGAAGGACGTTGCCCGGAGGAGTGATTTGACCAGGTGCAACTCCCTACCCGTCCGAGGCCCGGGCGAACGTCACGTGGCGTCGGGGCGTAAGCCCCACCCCCAAAAAGGCCTTTTGTGGGACGCCGGAAACGCCGGAAACGCCGGCAACGCCGGCGTAGACCTCCTGACGCGCGCGGCCTCGGCAATGGCGACGGAGGCGAAGCGCCGGCGGGTAAGTAGCAGGAAAGGGGAGCGGGACGCGCCCCTTTCCGCCGCTCCCCTGCTCCGCTCGCTTGCAGGGGTCCCTGGCTGCCCTCCGCGCCCCCTCCCCCTACCGAGAACCCTCCCTCCTCTCGCGCCTCCGTCTGCTCCCGCGTGTTCTCCGGGGCGGGCCCTCTCCACGGCGCTAGTTCGTTCCAGGTGGCGGGGCCTGTGGGCTGCAGCGACGCGGACCCGGACCCGGTGGCCGGTTTCCTGAGCTGGTGTCGGCAGGTTGGGCTGGAGCTGAGTCCCAAGGTGAAGAGGCAGGGGGTGCGGGCTGGCGTGCGCGGCGGTGGGGGCGGGGGCGCAGGCCTTCTCTGACCCGCGGCTGCCCGGTTCAGGTGGCGGTGAGCCGGCAGGGAACGGTGGCCGGTTACGGCATGGTGGCCCGGGAGAGCGTGCAGCCCGGGGAGCTGCTGTTCGCCGTGCCGCGGGCCGCCCTCCTTTCGCAGCACACCTGCTCCATTGGCGGCCTGCTGGAGCGAGGTGGGTGCGCCGGCGGGGACGCGACGGGGAGGCGGGCCGCGCAGCGGCGCGGGTTTTCACCTCCGTGTCTCCCTCAGAGCGAGGCGCGCTGCAGAGCCAGTCGGGCTGGGTGCCGCTGCTGCTGGCGCTGCTGCACGAGCTGCAGGCGCCGGCCTCGCCCTGGAGCCCCTACTTTGCGCTCTGGCCGGAGCTGGGCAGATTGGAGCACCCCATGTTCTGGTGAGCGCCTTAGTAGGGGGTGGGGAGCACCAGCACCGGAGCCTGGCTCGAACCGCCCTGGCCGGGGACCGGGTCCCCAGGCACTAGTCCCGGTGGGGTGTCACTGCAGGCCTGAGGAGGAGCGCAGGCGACTGCTGCAGGGCACAGGGGTACCGGAGGCCGTGGAGAAGGACTTGGCCAACATCCGCAGCGAGTACTATTCCATCGTGTTGCCCTTCATGGAAACCCACCCGGATCTTTTCAGCCCCAGGGTTCGCTCCCTGGAACTCTACCGCCAGCTCGTGGCTCTTGTGATGGCCTACAGGTCAGTGAGCAGAACCCTGAAGGACTTTCTTCCTTTCGAACTAACTCGGGGGGGGGGGGGGGGTAAGAGGGGAAAGAACAGGGAACCGCACCCCAGTCTCAGCCGCACGGCTTTAGCAGAGTTCTCTCTGTGGCAGCTTTCAGGAACCGCTGGAGGAAGAGGAGGATGAGGAGCCAAACTCCCCTTTGATGGTGCCTGCTGCGGACATACTAAACCACTTAGCCAGTCATAATGCCAATCTAGAATACTCTCCCGTGAGTGCATCCCTCTTACTGTTCTTATGTGCACTGATGATCAGGCATTTGATTCAAACCAGCGCTTGTCATTTATGCTGGTCTGAGAGTTAGGCTAAGTGGGCTCCGTTCTCCTCGTGGTAAAAACAGAGGTGAAGTTAGCTTTTCTTGTGACGTAGGTGGTTTGCATATTCCGAACAGTTGGAACACAAAACCTCAGTACCCGCAAAGAAAGTTGTGGTTATTTTTCTAAGCTACTGCCATCATTTCCTTGGTGTCAGAGGTTGGCTATAGGTCAGTACTTCGTGGGGAGAAGCAGGGAGGGGGAGGGGATGGTCCTACATTGGGTCCAAGGTAATACCAGGGTTATATCAATTCCATTTACTAAGTGGAAAGTTGTTAAGAAAAGATCAAGTTTATGCAGTTAGGGAATGGCTACTTTTTAATCCTGGCCTCCATCTGCCATTTTCCCTTGGGGTTTAATTGTTCCTTTTTAAAAACAAGCAGCTTTTTAAGTACTGCAGATGACTTGAGCAGAGACTCACCTAATAAAGCAATGAGGCTGAACTTGACCTTTTCTAAGTCTCACCTCTTTGATTCTACTGTATAGGCATGTTTCCCCTCAGATACTGTGCTTTTTACAAATTGAAGGTTTGTGGCAACCCTGTGTTGAGCAAGTCTATCGGTGCCTTTCCCCGCCCGCCCCTTTGGGAGCAGCAGGCTTCCTGCTAAACAGGGAACCTGATGCAGGGTTCAATCCCAGGACCCTGGGATCATGACCTGAACCGAAGGCAGAATCTTAATGGCTGAACCACCCAGGTACCCTCTTGCTTCATGACTGTGTGTCCTATTTTGGGAAGAATTAAAATTGCAAGAATTGCAATATTTCAAACGTTTCCATTATTACTCTATTTGTTTTGGTGATCTGATCAGTAATTACAACTCCCAGAAAGCTCAGGTGGTGGTTAGCACTATTGAGCAAAAAAGCTGTTTTTTGAAATACATTTTATATGCACTGGGACACGAAAAAGTTCATTTGACTCATTTTTTTTTTTTAAACAGTATTTGCTTTTTTGTGGTGGTGTGGAACCGATCCTATACAATCTGAGATATACCTATACAGGACTTTAATAGGAACTAAAAGTAAAAGTAAAATGTGGGTAGGTGTATCGTCAATTCCAGTGCTGAACTGTACCCACTGGGAAGATCTTCCGAAGAGGGAATTAATCTTCATGGGGCTGGCCAGGGTAGTGCCTATTCCCAGCTTCTCCCTTCCACCCCAGAATTGTCTTCGGATGGTGGCCACTCAGCCCATTCCTAAAGGCCATGAAATTTTCAACACTTACGGGCAAATGGCTAATTGGCAACTGATTCATATGTATGGTTTTGTTGAACCATATCCTGACAACACGGATGACACAGCTGACATTCAGATGGTGACAGTTCGTGAAGCAGCATTACAGGGTGAGTGTCTGGTTGATCCAATCTTGGGACACCAGTGGATAGGTCTCTGTGCCCACCCCAGGTGCTCTTAAAGAGCAGCTGCCCCATTCTTTGGAAACTGGGTAGTAGATTAAGAAGAAAGGAACTGCTGGATATATGGAGACGTTAACACTGTTACTATCTACAGGAACAAAAGCTGAAGCTGAGAGACTCCTACTGTATGAACGCTGGGATTTCTTATGTAAACTGGAAATGGTTGGGGAAGAGGGAGCCTTTGTGATTGGGCGTGAGGAGATACTCACTGAAGAGGAACTGACCACCACACTCAAGGTAAAGGGCTGAGAATAGCCAAAAAATATTTAGAGCTTAGACGAGAAAGGAAACATGGGACGAGGGAGCACACACTTAAATGCTGTCAAGACAGGCTTCTCTAAATTTAGAAATACACGATTTAAAGGACCCAATGATTGCTTCTAGGTACTGTGCATGTCTGCTGAGGAGTTCAGAGAGTTTAAAGACCAGGATGGATGGGGAGATAATAAAAGGGAAGAGGACAGCCTGACAATCACAAATATCCCGAAACTCAAAGCATCATGGAGACAGCTTCTTCGGGACAGTGTTTTGTTGACCCTGCAAAACTATGCCACAGACTTAAAATCTGAACAAGATTTACTAGGTAACAAGGAGGTGTACATGAAACTGAGCTGGAGGGAACAGCAGGCCTTGCAGGTTCGCTATGGTCAGAAGATGATCTTACACCAGTTGTTGGAACTGACAAGTTAGCAGGTTTTGTGTTGCCTGAAGAAACATCAACAAGAACTTTATTCTAAGATAATATTCACCGATGTTTGAAAAAAATGAAAATTTGGATCTTTTGCTTCACTTTTCCTTTAAGTGCCAAAAGGAAAAGTAGCAAAGGTGATGTGTTAGGGTTAACTCTGAGGTAAGGCGAACTGTTTGAAGATTGGGCACAGTCTAAAATTGGAAACTGCTGATGGTTACTAAGACCAATAAATCGTTTAACTGTTTCATTCTCAGTCTGAACTAGAGTTAGCAGAAATGTGATAGTAGTAAGGTCTTGATCTTTAGTAAATAGTAAGGTCATGGACTTTAAAGTAGACCTGGGTCTATTTTGAGCAAGCTTCTTCCCTCCAAGACTGTTTTTCCTGTTTGAGGGTTTGATGAGCTATATGGCGCTGGCACTCAGCAACTGTTTTACTTCCTCAGCAATCTGAAGTTTGCTATAGATGGCACAGCTCACCTTAAGGGAAGGAACCCTAAGATAAGACACCAATGACATTCAGACCTTACTTGTTAAAATTTCTATTTAATCTTGAACCTTTTTGTCCTCTGTGGCCATAGAACTTGACAATCAAAGGTAAGGTATTTTTTAAGTGGCATAAATTTTAAATATATCAAAATCCCACGAGGAGAAAGGGTATGAAAAATCTTTTGTAATTCTTTCATCACAGAAACCTGCTCCAGTGATTTTCTACTGTTGAAACATGCCAGGTTAGTAGGAAAGATCTCATCGTTCAGCAAGAAGTGATGTTTCCTCATGGCCCCAGGCTCTGTGAGACGGGGCCGTCCACTTTCCTCCTCACCACCAGCACTGGCTGCTGCTACTGAGAAAGGCACAGTGGACTCACACGTATGTCATGACTTTAATGTTTTGACTACAGTATGCATACACATACAAGTAAGGGAGCTAGAGCCCAGGAACTAGAAAGGCTACAAAATACAACACATGGACCAATACATTTACAAAACATTCAAAATCTTTACAAAAGGGGCTGTATTGGTCCTTTTGACTTTTTTGTTGTTCAACATAGCCTGTATGGCTATTCACTGGGAAGGAGGAAGGGCAATTCATACACTATTAGTCCCCTTTCCCACAATTTACAAGTATGAAGAGAGAGCTAGGGGCACTTGTAGGCGTGATGTGGCTTCCCTTTATCAAAAGAGCTGACTGTATCTTGGGGCCTAAAGAGATAAGTTCTCCACTTGAAATGAGAAAATGATGCTCTCCCAGCAGTCAGCTTCAGATTTGGGGAAGAAGCAAAACAAAAATCCATGGGATCTCAATTGTGAGCTCTTCCCATGTTCCCTAAACATACCAAATAGTAGCACATACACATTTTTAACACCTTTGTGATTTTCAGGGTCCCCTGTCCACATTAAAAAAATAAGTTACACAATATTTTAAACTGGCATTTTTTGCTATTCTTTGGGACACCAGGAATGTCAGAGACATGGAGTTATGTTATATCCCCAGACAAGTGCATGGCATCAACAGCCTTCAGTTACAAGCTAGGCAGGTACCAAGTTTACCTACTAGCCTTGGACACATTTTGCACAAACCCAAGAAGTTCCAGACAAAGGTTTTATCTTTCATATATTTACACAGTTCAAAATGATATTCACAGCATCTTCTAAATTTTGGCCAAGAGTCAATAAAAAGCATTTAAACTTTGGAACGTGCCCACATAGGAAGCTGACCCAAACAGTAATTGGGGCAGGTACCCGGAAACCAGAGGGCTGGGAAAGTCAGGAAGAGCTGAAAGGATTCTTCAGCCAGTTTATAAACCTGGTGCAGTGGGACTTCCAGGCTGTGACACATTTACAGCAGAGATGCAGTTCCATCTAACTGGCACCTGTCCCTTCCATTACTTGCTGAGCCTGCTTCTGTCCCATGCAGCACTGTGCAACCGACTGGAATAACCTGAAAACAGAGACAGTTACAAGTTTGTGAAAAAAACTTCAGACCTGGCAGTATCTTGGGTCATATGAGCTTTGGCTGTCATTAACCTTCTTAATCACCCACCCCAGCTAGAGCCATCATCTGTTTCTCATTCTTAAATAAAAAATGACTTTGAACTCACTTTTCAATTTCTGGGGCACAGTGTACAAACTCGTGGTTCCAGAACTTAAACGCTGGATTTTTAATCAGCTCAATGAAGGTAATAAGAAGACCCCAAGGATGTGGCCTATTTACAATCAACCGTTCCAAGAGAACCCTGAAGGGGAAAAAAGGTTAGTTACTGCACAGAGAAACCTAGAAATTTACGACTTCTCCTTTACCTTTTTCCCTAACTTTTCTCCTTGAGTATGAAACTACATGCAAAAGTTAGTAACTTTACTAATGACAAGTGGACTAATGTCTATATATATAGTATGGTTAATGCAGGTGGATTCTGGAATTAGAAAACCTGTGTTTGTATCCTGCCCCTCTTCCCATTAGTGAGCCTAGAAGACTGAGTTAAGGTAAAGATAACAGTATCCGATAATAGTCTGGCCCACTTTTTACGATGTGTGTATCTCTTTCACCAGAACCTACCCATTGCCCAATCTCCAGTGCTATGCAGACTAAGCAGTCTGCACAGATTCCTAAACTACCATTACATCAAAAAAGAGGGGGAAAGAAAAACACGTATGATTTGGTTATTTCTCTTTCATACTTCTCCTAGACTAGATGATAAAGAAAAGCCTAAGTTCTTTAGATGGCTTTTAACAGGCCTGTGTGGATTCAGGACTCTGGACAAAAAAACATCACCACCACTACTACCACCTGAGAGAAGAAACTGCTGACTTTCAATCAAAATGCCAGTACCTTTTGTTAAAAACCTTTTATTTTAGCAATGATTAGAATTTGTAATTCTCTACTTGTCATTTTGTGTCTATCAGACTAATCAACTGCTAGGTCAGGAACCATGTCCATTTTGCTCACAACTGTATCTCCTATTTAACAGGTGAAAGATATTCAATACTGACTACATGGGGAAAAAAATCTTCCTAACAAAGGGGAAGAAGCACCACTTAGAATTATCTGAAAAACATCTCCCTTACCTTGTAATCTGTTCTTGGATAGCTTCAGTGTTGGCTTCTGCAAAAAGGTACAGCATGGTACAGCTGAAGTAGTGAGTGTGGCTATTTGGGTACCGCAGCTGATTTGCAATGGCATTAAGGAAGAGATACCGACCTAGAAATTCAGAAAACTCATTTTATTGCAGATCTGTCTCACATGAAAAGCCAACATAAAAAAACAAATCATTCTGAGGGGCTAAGGTTTGGATTTATGATACAGGTTTTCACAGTATCCTTTAGTTTTAACCAGTAGTTCTTGAGTCCCCAGTGTTTCCATTTCTGGGTGGGAGGTTGTTACTTTGTATCTTCATTTTTTTTAATATTTAAAAACAGACCCACTGCATATAAGCATTTAAAAAAATTAGGGAAGGGGCACCTGGGTGGCTCAGTGGGTTAAGCCTCAGCCTTCGGCTCAGGTCATGATCTCGGGTCCTGGGATTGAGTCCCGCATTGGGCTCTCTGCTCAGCAGGGAGCCTGCTTCCTCCTCTCTCTCTCTCTGCCTGCCTCTCTGCCTACTTGTGACCTCTGTCAAATAAATATTTAAAAAAAAAAATTAGGGAAGAATATCAATTTCACAGATTTCTTTAATGTCGCTTAACAGACAGCTGGATTCTTCTGCCCCATGTTCAATGTGTTCCAATACTGTGTTTTTTGTAGCCCCTGGAAAACTCCACTGTACACTCATGACAACTTGAGTATACACACATATCATTACTGCGAAAGAAGTTTTGGCCTCATAGCTCTTATGTAAAAGGGTCTTAGGGATACCCCTTAGGGCTTCCACTCCACACTTTGAGAACTGCTAGTTTAGACTATATTGGAATAAATACCTATTAACTAGATCTGGTTGTCTGCCTCTGCTTATTATTCATGTTTATAAGGCTATCCAAGTGAGCTTTAACACTAAAGGCTATGCGGTGTGGACATAATGGTGTTCAGTCTTGTTAAATCTTGATTTTACACTGTTTCAGATCCCTTCACAGACAAGCAAGTGTTTGTATATCAAGATTAACTACCCTCTCCAGAACTGATAACAGCCAAGTTAAAAGTAGGCATCCTTTTTAAGGTATATGTATGTTAAGGGTGCCTGAGTGGCTCAGTTGGTTAAGCATCATCCAGCTGTTGATCACCGGGTCACCTGAATTCAAATCCCTGTGGGGCTCGAGCCTACTTTGAGGGAAAAAAAAAAAAAAAAAAAATTTAAATAAAGTACTTTTGTGTTAAAATAAGCAAGGCTACGTAGTTGATTAGTACCTACTGGGGTCTCTATTAAGAATGAATATAGAAGACCAAAAGAAATGTGATTCGACCAGGCAAGATGCAACCTTTGGGAAGAATTATATACTGTCAACTTTCCAAAAAGCAGGTTAAGGAAAATCCTATGTTAATTTTTATATACCTAATATTTAACAAGTTGCCTGACAGACACTAATAAATGCTGGGGAGAAAGGTAGGCTGACAAAACAATCTAAGATGAGCTTATTTTTAAAGAGAGGCTAGTAAAAAGAAAATGTTCATTTTCACGCTAGAAAAAAATAGTGTAATCATACCACTGAAATACTAAGTAATGTGGTAGGGATTCTGGATATTGCTTTCCATTTCTCCAATTTTTTTGCATTAAGCAGATCGTATACAACTAAAGATAAAAGAGCCAGCAAAGAAAGACAAATACCATATGATTTTACTCTATGTGAAATTTAAGAAACAAGCAAAAGAAAAAAATGAGAGTCAAAGCAAGAATCAGACTTAATTTTAGGGAACAATCTGGTGGTTACCAACGGGGAGTGGGTGTAGAGATGGATTAAACAGGCGATGAAAATTAAGGACTGCACTTACGATGACCACTGGGTGATGTATGGAACTACTGAATTACTATATTGTACACTTGAAACTGATGTAGCACTGTGATGATTAATTAATAGTGGGATTAAAATTTAAAAAAAAATACAGCCATAAACATACTGGTAAAATAACTATGTGTCTGTTGTGGCTTAAAATATTTTTATGATCAGACTGTGGCAAAAGGTGCAGAGAACTTAACTCTCAGAACTGGCTGGCCTCACTCACCTTCAGTGTCCAAGTCCACAGCTAGGTTCTGGAAGATGTCCATGTGAGCCGAGTGGGTGATCGTGCTCATTGATGGCGTACTACCCTTGTTGTGGATGTGTGCAATGGCCTGAGTCCCTACGTAGAGCACCAGTGCATTGATGAGCTGGAGGTTATAACGATTGCCAGGCTCATTGGATACCTAAACGAACGAAACAAAGCTACTTATTTTCACAGAGGATACAGTATTTCTAGCCCTTTTTATGCCTTCATAGAAGAGCTGAACTACTCTCAACATCTGTGATTTAAATTTTAGAAATTTGCATGACTTTGTGAGGTTGCTGAACAAATACATAATTGCTTAAGGATGGCTGGGTCAGTAACAAAAACATGATTTCCCTTTGGAAGCCAAAACTTTAAAAAGCACTCAGCAAACAAGTAAAAAGTTTGTAAATCAGACTATGCATTATCTCAACTACATAAAATATCTGGAGGGGCGTCTGGCTGGTTCAGCAGGTGGTGAGAGACTCTTGACAACCAGGCTGTGAGTCTGAGCCCCACATTCATTTTGGAAATTAATGAAATCTTAATTTTAATTTTTCTCAGAGAAAAAAAATATTTGGAGGGGAAAAAGTAGTTTTCTGGTATGGAAGGACTGGAAAGATAACACAATTTCAAGTCCTCTTCTGTACACCCAACAACCAGAATCCATTTAGAACAATCTTGGGAGGACTGACAGGAACTGATTATCAGCAGTATTATTCTTAAAGAAAACAAGCCTATTCCCTGGTTGCCTCTTCCAAGGCAATAGCTTTGTGTCCGTGATTAAATGAAATAATAAAATGCATAATCCAGGTAATCTCATATAATCTCATCCAACCATTAGAAATAACATTTATGTTTTAAAAAAATTTAAATTCAGTTGAAAACACTAACTCCCAGGTGTACCTAAGTGGCTCAGTCATGCATCTGTCTTCAGCTTGGATCATGATCCCAAGGTCCTGGGATTGAGTCCTGCATCAGGCTCCTTGCTCAGCTAGGAGTCT